CACTCCCAGAGCCTAAGGGCCAAAATGCTGAGCTAACACGACCTCGGTGCAATAAGACCTAGTCGCCTCCATGGCATGGGCAAACTTCAAGGGCAGACTATAAGTCACCCCCTTAGCCTAAAGTTTAAAACACCGAGCTAACTAAGACCTCGACATCAAGAGAGACTTAGCCACTTCAGTGGTGAAGGCAAAATATGAAGTATCAGAGGCGTAGGCAGCTCGGGTTTGAACCCTACGAAGCATAGCTTGTCTCAGTACATCGGTTGGACCAAGTAAGGAACAATCTACAAACATACAGTTCGGGCATACATAGTAATCGCTTCACGGTATGCTATAAAGGCGCCCCCCAAACACTAAGGGATAGCTCGGGATAACGATCATTGAAAAATCCTACTTTGGGTATGCAACTCTAATAGCTCGAGTGATGAGATCGCTTTGGCAAAGAATAAAAGAGCACACCATACTTAGAAGAAAAAGAGGTTTCACTAACATTCCAAAAAAAAAAAAAAAACTAAGCTAAACAGCTCGAGGAAGTTCAACAAGAGATAAAAAAGGGCACAACTGCCCAAGAAGATCTTTTCAAGAGTAGGTTTTGGCACCCGAGAGCCACCAGTAATCAGAAGAACAAAAAAGCAAAGCCGCCAGCCTTAGGGGTCCACCTCCTCCACCTCGCCCTCGTCCTCGTCCTCCGGGGAGTCAAGCTCATCCTCCTCCGCCTGGTCCGCCGTCTCGAGAGCCAAGCCCCTCATTGTGATACCGTCAAGGTTGAGCCCAGAGAACTTCTTTCGGATCAACCAGCGGCAGAGCTTGAATCTGGAGCGGTACGAGCTCGAGCCATACTCCACTTGGAGGTCATGATACTCCTAGGAGTCCTTGAAGTCCCAGACTGCCTTCTCCCGCTTGGCCTCCACCATGGTGTTGAAGTTCTGAGTTCGGTCCAGAAGTGTGGACTCCAAGTCCCGAACCTGTTGGCGAAGGACGAGCAGCTCCTGGGCCTCGCTCCCCTTGCGAGTGTGAAGGAGCTCGCCCCGGGTCCGGTCGAGCTCATCTTGGAGCTTCTGAACGATGACCCTCTGATTTTGAGCATCGTCGGAGTGAATGTTCGTCTGGAGGGCCATGGAGTGGATGGTGGAGTTCACCTGCCAACAAGAGACTAAGGTCAGAAGACAGCAAAAGGAAGCAAAAAAAACAAGAAGAAAAAGAGAAAGACTACTTACCACCATACAGTGGGAGGCAGCAAACGTGGCGAGCGCCTTGGGCTCCATCTTCCCCCATTTGGCGACCTCCTCATGGCAGATTGCCCTTCGGCTCTTCCGCCCAGCCATGAGGTAGTCGTTAACACCCTCCCAGTTCTCGACAGGGAACTGAGGGTAGGGAAATGGGTGGAAGGGACCAGGAGGAATTGCTCCTTGCCTCGGGAGCTCACCCTCCTCGAGGCCACCTTCTCCGGCGCCTCCTTCGGATGGGACCGGCGGAACTTCAGGCGGTGGAGAAGTAAAGTCTGGCTCAGCAGACCCGAACTCAGTGCCCCCCAAAGGTGGGAGTCCGGTCAGGACGCGACCTCTTCACCGTGCGCTTTTGGTTGCTCGAGAGAAGGCGGCGCGCGTCAACACTGGACATGATGGCTGACAAAAAACCACAAGGTATTAGTCCAGTAAAAAAAAACAACAAAGCATATGTATACACATGATATTTTTACAAGGCACTACGCGACCTAAAAAGGCAATCTACCCGGACTCAGGCCAGCCTGCGCGAGCTTCTTCTCGGTCAAGTAGTCCAAACAGAGGAAGCCTACCGATGCCTAGGACAACATCGTTTTCCGAATTTCAGGGTCCAACTCGGCCCTAGGGTCCTGGATGACGCCCCTCCAGGAAGTTGGGAAGGGCCACCCCTCGGGGTTACGGACCACAAAATAGTCCCGCTTCCAGGCAGGAATCTTGTTCGGTAGCTCGTACAGGAGCTTATAGCCATGACGGGGAGAGAGGTAGTAAAAATGCCTTTCCGGAGGAGCTCCGAGGGCGGCATTCTTGATGCAGAGAATAGAAGCAAAAATATCAAGGTCAAGGGGAAGACAGTACTCATAGCACAAAGAAATGGTCCCAGCCATGTTCCGGATGGCATTGGGATGGAGCTGGTCGATGGTGACGTTGAAGTGGTTTAGCACCTCCACTATTAGGGGGTGCAGGGGAAGACGTAGGTCAGCCTTAAGTTGTTCCTGGAAAATCACTATATCGTTGGGACCATATAGAGGAGGTCCCCGGGAAAGTTACCAGTGGGGATACTGTAGAGGAGGTCCCCGGGAAGGTGAAAGTAACGGATTAGAGACCTGAGTCTTCCACCGTCATGGAGGAGGGGCCGAAGGTGTCAGGCTCCCTCCCCCGAGAAGTAGAGGCCACATCACCGAAGGTCTCCCGAGCCTCCGGAACCTGCTCCCAAGCTCCCACTGAGCTCGCGGGAGCGTCGTCGTCCTGGTTACCGTCCCAGGAAAAAACATGGTACGAATACATGATTGACAAAATGATTAAGACTCATCGAGAAAAAATGAAACAGTGTGAACAGAAGAGCTCGGGCAGACTAGACGGATGCACGACCTCAGAATCCAAAGACAGCAAGATAGCATGAAAGAAAATGAGGCCTAGGGGGCCCTTCTATTTATAGTCACTGTGCCTCCGAACCAACGGCCCAGATTGAGGTAGATCTGACGGTTCGTAGTCAAGCTGACCGCACGCCTTTTGAAACCGAAATGTCACTAGCAGCACGTCTTCCATGATTGAGGTAATGGCGGCTGCACGACATCCGGAGTTAAGAGCCGCTTCAGCGTGTTTTTTCGGTATTCAAAAAGTCAGAAATCCCCTGATTCCCGCACACACATTTAATATGAGCAATCAACCAAGTTTGAACTTCGGTCAAATCAACCCATCACACTTCATGAACTCCTCACGCTAAGGTAGCACTCTTAGCCCAAGGAGTGGGGGGCAATTGATGGAGGATGATTTGACCCGACCCATTGAAATGATGACACGTGGACCTGACTCAGCACGAGCAACAGCTCAGCACCACAACCTGATTGCAACTAAGTAACGAGCCTATAGAACAATTCGCTACGTCATAGCTCACTCTAGGGGGAGCTCGCTACAACGCGAGCTCTAGGTCCCCTGAGTCACTGAGAAGGGAATACTCCAAGACTATTTCAGCGCGAGCTAGGGTAACCAGCTCACTCCAACACATAGGTAGAAGAACTGCCCCAAAGACAATCTCGATGAGGGCCACCTCGAAGTATCCCTAGGAGCTCACGGCAAAGTAGCTCGCGGCAAAGATAACTCGCTATGTGACAGGGTAGCTCGCTATCAAGTAGTTTGCGAGTGGGCAATGCGATGCTCTCAGGAAGCTTCTATCTGACAAGACCGTACCCGTCAGACTGCACCACGTCTCTCGACTGACGGCGTAGTTCCTGCCCATTTAACTGTCTGCACCCACGTCTCTCGATAGATGGTGGCATGCCTGTCCCTTCGGGGCGTGTTACTAATCCAAGCGGGTAGTACGTTGTAACGATCACCTGCATAGCCTTGGCAGGTAACGACTGCGACAGGAGCCCAGTGGCGGTTACGCCCGATTTGACAGGAACACCCATATAAAAGCCCTTTTAGCGAAGGGGAGAGGACTCTCGGATTATCATTTGAACTTGAATTATCTTACTAGCTCACGAGCTAATCTTGAGACACAGTGATCTAGCGCAACCTACACTCTTAGCCTTTTACACTCTTTTCTTCCTCCCCAGCGTTCTAACTTTAGCTTCGGAGTATTCCTGCCGGGCAAATCCCCCGAGAATCCTTCACCTTCGTCTTCTCCGGTGCCGTCCGTTGCCAGCAAGGAGCCAGTCAGCAGCTAGTTAGGAGTGCCCGGATCGTGCCACATCAGGAACCGACCAGTATACATGTTTTTCTATATATTTATGTATATTATATATTTTTTATATACTTTATATATTATAAATTAATAAATATGCATTCTATAAATATATATTTATAATATATTATTTATTATTTAAAATATAATATTTTATATATATTTATACTTTTTTATTATATATTTATAATATATTATAGAAACTAAAAAATCAAAAAACCGACGAACCGAATCGGTCAACTGGTTAACCGACTAGTTTCGGTTCAGTTTCAGTTACCGGTTTCCAAAAATCAGTACTACTGATTCGATTCAAAAAAAGGGCCACGGTTCGGGTAATGTTTTGGAACGTAACTTATTGGTAGGTGATCTGAATTAAACGAAGCAGGATCTACTCCTCATAAATGGGCGCCTCACAAGCACATCCACCATGCATTGGGAACATCTCCCGTGAATAATAACTAATAAGTACAAGAGATGTTCCCAATGCATGGTAGGATGTGCATGTGAGGCGCCAGGTGTGAGGAGCAGATTTGGTCTCGGATTAAACACAGATAACTCGGATTCCCAGATACGATCCCAGGTCTATGCAGTAAACAAGGAGCGAAATCTGCTCCTCACACTTGGGCGCCTCACATGCACATCCACTGTGCATTGGGAACATCTCCCCTAAAAAGTAATTTACAAGTACGGGAGATGTTCCATGCATGGTAGGATGTACGAGTGAGGCGCCTTTTGTGAGGAGCAGATCCGGTCTCACTAAACAGCTGTGGAATTTACCATTGAACACCTTCACTTTAGACTAGACCTTTCTTGGTGGCAAAGAAACGCATACCGTGCCTGGATTCGGAAGTTGGAACTGAAATGACACAAATCTCCCGCTATCAACTCTGTAATGACAAAATCTGCTCCCAACAGTCTAAAAAATGAGAAGGGAATCATCAATCGGGACCCTTCAATTTTAATTGAAGTGGGGCCACTGAGAAATGAGAATGTAGAGAAGTGGGCCATAAGGGGTATTTTAGTCAAATTATAGAAACCTTGCATTTTTCTTTAAGTTTTGAATCCGAAAGTAGAAAACCCCAAACGCAGCAGAAACTACTGGATTCTTTCTTCATTGCCTTTTCCTACAGCATCACCATCTCTCTCTCTGCAACTGATTCATTCCCAATATAGCAAAAGCGTTTGGACGAAGGAGAGGATTTGAATATGGAGAGAGGAGGAAGGCGGGTATCGAGGGGGATGCTGCCACTTCTGGCCCTACACGCTGTGAACGAGTACTACAGACTGGAGAGAAAGCCTCCTGTGACAGCCGGTCTTCTCGTGGCTAACACACTTATCTATTTGAGACCTGGTGTCCTAGACCAAGTATTGCCTTCCCTCGATGAGGTCTGGTTCAACCCCCACCTCATCCTCAAGGTATGTCAACAATTCAACCTCTCTTTCTGTATAGGTGTATCTCAAGGCTCAAGTTGTGTGAAGATCATGATTGTATTTGGTGAATGATGGTTGGTGTTGTGTGGTTTTCTGTTGTTGTGGGAAACCCATTTGTTCTTTGGTCAGCTTGGCTCTCGGTGAAGATTGTAAAGTCGTTGAATTGTGAAGACGGACATTTCATTTTCTGAATGATGGTTGTTTGTCTCTAATTTATGCATTCGATGACATTAATTCGTTTTGGATGTTTTTTAATTTTTTTTTTCTTTCAACGAGGTAGGTTTTGGTCTTCCGGCACTTGATCCTTGAGTTATTGAAGTCGTGTCTTATGTGATATATTACAGGAAACATTTTTTATTATCAAAATCTAGCTCTTGTTTGAGTTTTGAGTGGCTTAATTAGATATTGCAAATCATCATCATCTTCCATGTAGGGGTGTGATGCAGTACAGAATCAAACCACGTTTAGAGAAGCTTCAAAGGAAAGAGCAAAAGCCGAAATAAACAAACAACACTTAATACTTAAGAGAGAATCCACATAAAAGCGTCATAGCTTTGTCGTAGCTACTCTTTATTTAGACTTACACCCTTATGCCTCCTACAAAGAAGTTTCCTAATCTAATAAAACACTCTTTATTATAATCCTACTAAATCTCTTCAAAAAAGAAAGTCCTAATTGAACAAAAATTCACGATCTAATGCTATCTTGGTAATTTTGAACTAAGATAAAAATTCTGCGCTGATGCTAACTTGATAAACTCGAACTAAGATAAAAGTTCCATGCTGATGCTAACTTGGTAATTGCTTACTTGGTTGGATCAGTAATGTCTTCTCAGCTTCTTACGTTTCTTGTAATGGTCCCAACTTGCATAGAACTTTTTAGCCTTCTTCTGTATAGCATCAAAGTGTCAATGGACTGATTTTGGATTGGATCGAGTCCAAACCAAAATCAATTTGTACAGATTGGATGGGTCTAACAAGACATATTGAACTGGACCAGTCCAAACTTAATGATCCTAAGTATTTATTGGATTGGATTGGACCTAGTCCATCCATATTGAATTTATATTGGATTGGGTTGGATTGAGCCAATATTTGGTCCATTGATAGAAGGTAAGAATATAGGTGTCAATGGACCAGGTTTGGGTTAGAATTAATCTAAATTAAAACAAATTTGAACAAATTGGACTGCCCAAACATTGAATTAGATCGATCCAAAATATTCATTGGATTGGATTGGACCTAGTCCATTTGTAAAGGACTCACATTGGATTGGATCAGATTGGACCAAATCCAGTCCAATTGACACCCCTACATCACCTTATCCCATCTATATGTTTGCCACTTAGTTCATTTTAAAACCATAACCACTGTTAAATTGTTAGTGCTTAAACCATTTCTTACTACTTCTACCCATGTCCTTTTTGGTCTACCCCAAGCTATTCTAGCCCCTTCCTCTTGTAACAAATCACTTCTTCAAATTGGAACTGTTGGTGGTCTTATATGCACGTGTGTGAACCATCTTAGCCTACTATCTCTCATTTTATCACTTATTGGAGCTATTCCTAGGTTTCTACGGATGACTTCATTCTTGATCTTATCCTTTCTAGTTTTTCCACTCATCCATCTTAGTAATCACATTTCTACCACACTCATTTTCTAAACATGTTGTTTCTTGACTGCCTAACACTTTACTCCATATAACATATATAAAATTTTCCTTTTAATATGAGTGGTATTCTCCTATCACACAAAAGTCCAGATGCACCCCTCCATTTTGCCCAACCTGCTCTAATTCTCTGGGTGATATCCTCCTCAATCTCTCCCTCATGGTCTCCAATCCTAAGTGTATCCTAATTTACATCCTAGTATTACTAAATTTACATGTCATATAATTTGTTTTAGTCCTTATTTTAAAACCTTTTGTTTCTAGGGCATTTTTCCATAAGTTTAATTTTACATTTAATCCTTCATTAGCTTCATCAATTAAAACAATGGCATTCGCAAAGAACGTGCACCATGGAAATTCTTCCAGAAGATGTTTGGTTAATTCATTTATGACCAATGCAAATAGATAAGGGCTAAGTGTTGAACCTTGGTGAAAACCTATTATAACTGTAAAATCTTAAGTCTCTCCCACTAGTGCTCCAACATTGGTTGTTGCCCCCTCATACATATCCTTAATTAGATCTATATATGTATTTTGAACCCAACCCCTTTCTTTTCCAAGACCCACCATATTATCTCCCTAGGAACTCTATCATAAGCCTTTTCTCGATCAAATAACACTATATGAAGATCTTTCTTCTCTCTGAACTTTTCTAACGATCATCTTGAAAGAAATATAGATTCCATGGTTGATCTTCCTGGCATAAAGCCAAATTGGTTCTTTGATATACTTGTTTCAAGTCATAATCTTTGTTCGTTTATTTTTTTTTCTTTCAAAATTTTATAGTGTGGTTCATGAGTTTAATCCCTTGATAGTTATTACAACTTTGTATATTACCTTTATTCTTAAATATAGGCACCATACTACTATTTCCCTAATCATTAGGCATCCTCTTTTCTTTTACTATATTATTAACTGGCTTGGTTAGCCATAACAAGCCTACCTCTCCCATACCTTTTCACACTTCTATTGTAATCCCATTAGGTCCTAATGCCTTTTCCCTTCATCTTATTTAGCGCTTCTTTTACTTCACTAGGTCTAACTCTACGAATGCACACATTGTTTTTAACATTATTAGTATTGCTAGCCTCTCATCCATTAGAACCCTCTTCTTTTCCTTTCTCTTAGCTTTGCTAGTTTATACATTCTTTTTTCTCCCTCTTTAGTGCCTAATTTATGATAAAGCTCATCATAAGCCCTACATTTAGCTTCATTTACGTTCTATTTTAACTTATTTTCTTATGGTTTTATATTTTTCCCAATTTTTTTTTGCATTTTTAGCATTTTGCCATTCATTGTAACATGCTTGTTTTAATCTAATTATATTTTGAACTTCTTCATTCCACACCAAGTTTCTTTAGTACTTTTCCATTTTCCTTTTAGTTCTCTTAAGACCTCCTTTGTCACTTTCTTTATGTCGTTTTCCATTTCAAACCAGATATTATTAATCTTTCCATCTAAATTCCAATTCCCTTCTATTCTCAACTTGTTTCTAAATTGAGATAGATTTTCTCCTTTTAGGTTTTCCAACCTAATTCTTAGACACCTATTTTCTTCCCTTTTTTTTTCCATTTCCTAATGTACTCACTAATCTACGTTGTGTTGTTAATATTTCTCTCAGAATAACTTTGCAATCTTTACGCATCATTCGTTTTCTTTTCCTAGTAAGGAAAAAATCTATTTGGCTTATGTTTGATCCACTTTTAAATATTATCAAGTCTTCATCCTTTTTTTTTGGAAAAAAAGGTGTTTAAAATTGCCATACTATAAGCTACTGAAAAATCTAATATTGCCTAATTCGCCCCTCTCCCCAAATCCAAATCCTCCATGTTCATACATATCCTACACTTCTTTTCCCTACATGCCCATTTAAGTCTCCTCGTATTCAAATATTTTCTTTATTTGGAATTTCTTGGATTAATCTTTCTAAATTTTCTTAAAATTATCTTTTAATGTATTCCTCTAAATCTACTTGAGGTGTATAAGCACTAATTATGTTAATGACTTCCTCCTCCAAAACAAGTTTAATTAAAAGTATTCTATCCCCAATTCTTTTAACATTTATAATTTCATTTTTTAAATCCTTATCTACTATTATTGCTAAACCATTTTTATTATTCACCTCTCTTGTATATCATAGTATGTAGCCATCAATTTCTTTGTTTTTTACCCTTCCATTTAGTTTCTTGTAGGATATTTACCCTTCTCCTCTTCACAGTGTCTACTAATTCCATAGTTTTTCTTGTTAATGTTCTCACATTCCAAGTGACTAAACGAAGTCGTGTTTCTTGGACTCGCTTCCTTACCTACCCTCGTCTAGAATGGTGCGGGAATGAAGTTGTGTTTCTTGTAGGATATTAATCCTTCTCCTTTTCATAATGTGTACTAATTCCATAGTTTTTCTTGTTAATGTTCCCACATTCCAAGTGACTAAACGAAGTCGTGTTTCTTGGACTAGCTTCCTTACCTACCCTCATCTAGAATGATGTGGGGACCGTTGCCTATTTGACACCAAAGTCAGGCATTTCCATGGCGGGTCACTTGTGGGAACCATCCTAGCAAACATTACCCACTTAATACTACACTCGGGTTAGGGTGCAGTGTGTCGTTTTTGGAGAACGCCCTAACATAAGAACAAAAGGACAAATCAAGATCCATATTCATGAGAGTTTGGCAAAAGTTTTAGTGCTGGCTACCAACTTGTCGCAACCGTCCTCCTTTATTTGAGCTTGGGATCGATAGTATAAGACAAGCTCACACCAGCAAAGTAGGAGTTTAATTAGATATTGAAAATCCATATATTATATATATTTGCTTCCCTTTCTAAATGGTAGGAGGTATCTTTCGTCACTTTTGTTGTATTCCGGTGTATTTCTTTTTCTTGTTGGTTGTTCTTTAGTTTTAGTATTATTGCAATGGAAAATAGTCATTTGTTACTTTTATTTAGTTTTGACTTGTGACTAGCCAATGTGGCACAACCCATTCCATGTGTACCCAACGTTTACATAGAGAAACAAGCCCTTTGTGGGTATAACTGGTGGATACAGTCAGAATTTGTATAATTTGATTATTAGGTACTGGGTTTGCTTCTGAGATCATGTTGCTGTGTTGGTAAAGTGTTATGTATTGATTACTTGTCAATAAAAATGGTGTTATCTATTGATTCTAACTTGCTTCTACAAATATCATGAATATGTGTAAGAGAGTTGATTCAACAACTACATTTGAGGGGGCAAATTTTCTTGGTTATATAGATAAACTATTATAGAGTATGAAAAATAATATGTGAAAAATCAAGATATCCTATTCTTATAATGTTCGTACACTCAAAGTTGGATACTTAGAATTCATGCATGGGGCGTCTAGTTTATGAAATTCTAAAGCTGGATTCTCAAATCTATTGAGAGTAGAAAGTGGTGCAGATGGAGTTCAGAGAAGATGAACCCAACTGTTTCAGAAACCTTGCTTTGACGTGCATTGCTTCAATCAATTTTGAACAGTGAATGTCAAATAGTCGCCTTTGTTTCTTGCGATTCATATGAAAGCCTATGGATATCTAAGGTGATTTTAGGATGTCAGTTGTGTAGGATAGACAAGTCATTTTGATCCACCTTCTGATGATATTTTTGTGCTGAATAAATATATTGGTGATAGTAATTTAGGTATTGTTAAGTTTCTAGAAGTTAAAGCATATTATCACAACCCAACTTAGGTCGTCCCAAATTAAGCTCTAATAACCTTGTTACCCTGATTACACCTTTAACAAGTCATGTGGCACTCTACTTTTCCATGGATAGAGTTAGCCTAATGCTACCCAGGTCCAATCCTTTGCTTGGGTGCTGTGAAGACACACTGCCTTGTGCATTCCCCAGCATATGTGTGTTCAAGAGTCTCACCCTAATGGACACACTAAAACACACAGTAGCTCTCATTGGCTTGGGTAAACAACAAGGTTTGAATTACAGCTAAATACATAAATACAAGGCTTACAAGGATGGATTGGTTGTTAATATATAGATTCTCAAATGAGGGAGGCCTTTTCCTATTTATAGGCTCTAAACCTAATCTAGTACCTTCTCAAATAGAACCCTCTAGACAAGAGAACCCTAAAGTCTAGATAATTCTACCAACTCGTGCGTACAATATATTTACAAGAAAGGTCTCCTTTACAATGTTCCACATGATTTTAGAGAACCCTAGAGCACTCCATCTCATTGGAGAACACTCCAAAAGGTTCAGAGAGCTCCTGCGGTCCGGCCTTAGCTAGAACCGAGTTCGGCTTCAGTCAGTGCAAGCCCGTGCTCACACCGTTCAAACAGCCTCTTGCAACCTTGCATTGGGAATACATCCCCATAAAATAAAGCACATAAGTATGGAGATATTCCCAATGCAAGGCTGTAAAGGCTGTTCGAACGGGCTCTTGCACTGACTGAAGCTGTTCATGATCTGCCCATAAACCTCTAGCCACAGGTTCCTCTGCTCCTTTGTTCAAGTGGGGCGTGACAAATATGACATATTTAACTCTACATCATTATCATGAAGTAGATAGGTTGACAAAAGAAGATAGCAAACATCCACTAAATACATAAATGCTATTTATTCTTGAAGCATTTCTAAGATAGCAGAAATAAAGACTTTGAAGAGATTTAAACTGCATTTGGCATTCCTTATTTTAAGGACTTGTCTCTTTTTTGCTGTTAAAAACTTAGTGTTCATAGGGGCATTTTAACTGCAAAAAGGAGACGAGTCCTTAACATAAGGAATGTCAAGTGCGGCCTTAGTAGTGAGAGAAGACTTGAAAATTGTAATACCTCCATAAATCGTAGTGCACATGAAGAAAATGGGGGTTTATTGGATTTTAGATTTGGAGGGTTAGTGCAAACCTGTAATTTGCACATTAGGAGAAAGCAAGAAAAGAGGATAGAAGTCATTCTAATCATGCTGGAGAATGATATGATGATGATGGCCAAACTTTCTCCTCCCTTGCCTCTGGCAACACTGTCAGCTGCATCCTTTTCTCACCTTGGGATCCATTTGAACAAGATGGTCACTTTGGATGCCTAGAACCTAGTCTCCCTAGTATTGATGTTGCAATACACAAAGGCCCTCTAATCTCTCCCTAATATAGAGATTGAGGATGATTCCCGGACAGCTGAGGTGACTTTAAGTGGTTAAATGACAAGTTGTAGCATCCTAACAATCTTCTTTGGACTTGATTTGTTGCTCATAGGGGTGGATTCGAGCCGAGCCGAGCCAAATACTTGGCTATTTTAGCTCGGCTCGCTGAAACTGTGTTTGGCTCCTTGATTCGAGCTAGAGACTTGAGCTCGAGCTCAGCTTGTTTCAAAGCTCGCAAGTTTGAGCTCGGCTCGGCTCGAGTTCGACTACAAACCAAGTTCTTTTCTTTTCTAAAAAATAAAAATTATACATATAAAAATATTTTTTATTTTACATAAAAAATCAAGTATTATAAAAATCATTTACTATTATACATGAAAATAAAAATATTATATATAATATTATTATATATAATAAAAATTATTTATTACATATATTTATGTATGTATATGTATATGTATGTGTGTATTTATGTATATAATAAAAAATTATTTTTTTATTATACTAGGCTCGCGAGCCTCACGAACCGAGCTTCATTGGACTCGAGCTCGGCTCAATTAGCTTTATTGGACTAGGCTTGCTCATGGCCAGGTAGACCACGAATCAACTTTCCAATTTTGAGAAAATAAGTGATTTTCACCTAATCAGGTTTAACTGCTTTTGTTATCTGTACAAAGCGGTGAATCCTTCACTCTTCCCTTCTTACATTGTCCCAGTCCCCATAGTTTATGGACCACCATGAGATCTCTAATAGTTTTTCATCCTCCAAGGTATTCCTGTCTTGAGCAGAAAATTTCCTAGTTTGAGGCTGCATCCATGTCTTTCAGTCAATCACAATAAAACACTATTCAATATTGTTGTCCTTAAATAGTATTGATGTGTTTCCTTTTTTTGGACATTGAGCAGCACAGGGATCTCAAACGCTTCTTTCTGTCAGCATTCTACCACATTGGTGAATCCCACCTTGTTTACAACATGATGTCACTTCTCTGGAAGGGTATCCAATTGGAAACTTCAATGGGAAGTGTTGAATTTGCATCCATGACTCTAGCACTTGTTGGAATGTCCCAAGGCATCACACTACTTCTTGCAAGAGCCCTTCTCTTGTTCTTTGATTATGAGAGAGCCTACTACCATGAACATGCTGTGGGCTTCTCCGGTGTCCTCTTTGCTATGAAGGTCATCCTCAATTCCCAGTCAGAAAACTACACTTATGTCCATGGGCTAATTGTACCAGCACGTCATGCTGCATGGGCAGAGCTTATTCTCATCCAAATGTTTGTGCCAGGTGTGTCATTCTTAGGCCACCTTGGTGGAATACTTGCTGGCATTCTCTATCTCCGGTTAAAGAGTATATATTCAGGTCCTGATCCATTGACAACCATCATCAGAAGTCTCACTGGCATAGTAAGCTGGCCTCTGAAAATTGTACGGAGCTTATTCCATTTTCGCCATCGGCGATTTTCTGGCAGGGGGGCTGTTGGTGGGAGTCGTTCAGGAAGGAGTGTATCTGGTGTCTGGAGATGCTCAGCCTGCACTTTTGATAATTCCGAGTGGCTAAATGAGTGCGAGATGTGTGGCACAGGAAGGGATGGTGACGGATTGTTGTCTGTTCGGCATTCAAATGAGGCACGTGATCTCTCATTGGAAGAACTACGCCGTCGGAGAATTGAAAGGTTTGGTAGATGATTGTTCTGCTGGGCTGGCATCCAATGCATCCAATGGTTGATATGATATTGGTGTTCTTCACTTGTACAACTACAGGGATTTTTTGTTTTCAAAAGAAAAATGGAAGTGTCTTTTGCCTTCCAACTTCAAATGGTGAAAAATGTTGGCAAAAGGCAAACGTTTGCTTCATTACCAAAGGAAGAAAAGTTAGCTTAGCGACATGTAAACTTGAACTTGAAAATATATTTTTTCCTGTAGGCTTTGTTTGGTTTGAAGGGTAGGGAAACCTTTACAAATCTTGTATGGATTTCCCTACCTTTTCCCTAAAAACAAACATAGCCTTGATCTCTGGCATTTTCGTTGTTCATGGGTTCTATTTTATCCAACAAATTTCTATATCACACAAAGTCACAGCATGTTTGGGTGATTACTCATTATTATATTTATGGAGTTAAGAGTTCAGACAGTACTTTTTCCCTCCTCTCGTTCTGGCAAGTGACAACCACATGTATCAAATCCAAGGTTTTGAAAAACGAACCGGAAACAGAATCGGTCAGGGGACTGGTTTTCAGTTAAGTGGTTCAACCATCTGGATCGAATGGTTTGGCCCATAATGTCATAAATAAATTAAAAAATAAAAAATATATTTTCAATTTTGGGAACCACCCGACCTTCAGTCCTTCGAATCTGAATGTATAAACTTCCAAAAAAAAAAAAAAAAGCAAAACTTTTGGGTTCCCAATTGAGTGTCAGCCTGTCAAGCTTGAAATTGGTCAATTGAGAACCACCAATTTGGGAACCCAAAAGTTTTACATTTTTTTTGAATTTTATACCTTCAAGCTCGAAGGACTGAAGGTCGGGTGGTTCCCAAAAGTTGCAGATAGAACAATAAACTTACTCTCGCAAGCATGGGAGAATAGTGGGTAGGAATCACCGTCACTACAGGTAAGGTTGCAATATTGCCGCTGCAAGTTGGTCACCGGACCTGCTAATGCTGCAACCCACAACTGTTGCAGCTGGATCTGCTGCAAAATCAATGCTGTCTGCTGTAAATGAAGCTCACCGCTGTCGCCGTGAATCGCCGTCGGTCGCTGTCGCCATCGGACGCCGTAGGTTGTGACTGCTGCAAATGACCAGTTGGGTGTGGCGGCTGAGAGGGAAGGGTTAGAACGAAAATGGGGTTGTTCTAACCCTAAATGTAAGAGATAGGATTGGGGATATGGGGGTCATTTTGTTTTTTGTTTTTTTATTTTATTTAAATCCATGAAAATAAAAATGATAACCCGCAAACCGCTGCCCGAGTCGAATAGTTTAGCAGTTCAATCGTCCGGGTCAGCAGTTTTCTGACTTTTTCAACAGATTTTAAAGATTTACCGGTTTATAGTGCAACTGGACCTGGGGGGCTGAATGGTTATCGGTTTTGAAAACCATGATCAAATCTTTTGGAAAGCCCCCATGCTGTAAACTTGGGTGTTTCAACTTTCAATTGGTATTGGTCTTCCCATACAACACATCCTATTTACAATTTTCCATTGAAGAATGAAAAATCAATCAGATTTCTCCTGGGCCTGGTAGCGTAATTGGTATTAGTGTTTCAGACTCAGACCCAACTAGACGGTTGAATCGGTGATCTTGGTTGATGACTTGATGGTTTTCATCAGAACGAGCAAATTAACTGGTTAACTGATAAAACCATGACCTAATGTTGGACTCGAGAGCATTATGGTTTTCCATCCTGTTTGAGTATGACGACATTGATTGACATGCAAGTATAACAGGTATATACATTACATTACAGTTCCAACACCTGACCCATCATGTCATGCAACAACACCTGTTCTTTCCATGGGAATGTGAGAAGGAAATACAAGCGTATAAGGAAACAAAATCATCTCTGACTAAAATAGTTAATAATACAACAATGATAGAACTTAGAAGAACCCCCTCCAACCAAAAAAGAGTGGTTAAGGGGAGAAAAGGAAAAGGCAAGATCAAAGCCTTAAAGGACTACTGATCCCAGAATAGAGTTGAATTAGATGATGCCAGCTTGCTTATTTGGCCCTGTGAGTGTTTGTTTGACCTCCCCTCAGGCCTCGCCAACCAATGTAATCACCATCATCGCCTGCCCATCCATAGACGGGGTAGAGAAACAAGGAAAAATAAAAGATAAAGATAAATGGCAAATGATTGACACAGCAAAAAGCCGTAGACGAGATGGGATGACTACAGGTAACAACAAGTCATTCAACACTCTTCTTTAGCTGTACAAATCAGTTGACGATACTATTCACCTCGAGAACTGTTTGACCTATGCGGTTTTTGGGCTGAGGCAAGTTCAACGGTTATGATGAAAGTTGACTTGCCTTCTTCTCTCAGATACCGGACATCACCATTCATGAGCCTCAAAAGTTTCCTGCTGAAAAGAAGGCTGACACCCTCTTCTGATGATGCATCACCATTGCTTTCAAACATCTGGCTGAGTAACTCTTCTGGTATTCCACCACCCGTATGAATTATCCTGCATCAGAAAAACAAAATCATGAAATACTGGTAAAATGTGTAACTCTTGAGAACATTCAACTCGATTAGTTGGCTGTTTACAGCAACTTCCTAAAAATGTCCGTCTGCTTGCAACCCAATGCAACAATTGACGAGTCAATAGGGATGTTTCAGTGGCTGTCATTTCACAAATTATTATCCATACAAGATTGGTAAAAAACTAGTAAAGCAACACATTTAAATTTAGAATAGAATAACTGAGAGATAATGTTAAGTCCCACCAGATAACTGTATCATGTAAAATCAGCGCATCACCATCTGTAATTAACAGTAAGCACTGGTTTGGTTTGGTAGAAAATAAGAGAGAAACAGAAAGTTGTTACAAACTTTCATAAAATTACTTAACTTCCCTCAAATTTCTGTTTCTCTCTTGTTTTCTACCAAACCAAACATAGCCTAATGGAACTGCAAACCAAACTAGTGCTTAAGAACTCTCTTTGGTAGAAAACAGGGAAGTTGTCAACTTGGGTGTTCTGTACTGTAGTCGCAAATGGGTTTGGTGTGTTTCAAACCACTGCACTGGGCCACACCTTAATTTGAAAAATGGGTTCCAAAACTCACCATATCCTTGGTGGTGTTTTGCATGTTGTGGTGTGCTGTTTTCCAAAATATTGGGGTTTAAGATGTGTTGGTTTGAAGGAGAGAGATAATCAATGCTAAATAAAGCCAGCAGAATGGTGTCATTGGAAACACAAGAACTATGAATTTTCAGAACTTAACATATCTCAGATGGTTGTAAATACAGATTATTAGCCTATAAAAGGTTGTAGCCCCTTGACAAAGAAAAAACCAAACTCCAGGGTTCAAGCAAGGTTCTCAGCCAATGACAGTGACAAACTAACCAGGATTTGATGGTTAAAAATCCAATGACCAAATTATTGTGTACAAAAGGCTATAAAACCATCTCAATATTGAGGCAGAATCAGAACCAATATGAAACAATAAATGATTTAAGAAAAAAAAATAGTGGTTCATTCTGAATCAAGCTCCCAAAACTACTTGCAAGTCCCAATACCATAAAAAACACTGATGAGAGGAGCACTGATATGTGTTCATGCATGTGTGTATGTGTGTGTGCATAACTGATTGATTGACAATGCAAATTAGTACCTGAGCTCCAGATGCACAAGATGAACACATTCTCCCAATCGATCCTTAGTCAAACTGGTAGCAAGTATTAGCTGGCCTCCAGTCGGTGTAAAATTAACAGAAATCGAAAAGAAATCAGCCAGTATCTGTTGAAGCCTTAGACTGTCTCCATAAAGTCGTTCAATCAAGATATCCTCCAATGAATCATTAATAATTTGAATATTCTTTGCATTGCTCTTAATCATGACTTGACTAATGGAAGCAACCAAAACATCTCGTACAGTAAACTCAATCATTTCAAGATCCAAACATCTGTTAACATTGAAATAAAATGGTATGAGATTATGAAACAAAATCATTTCCAGATCCAAAAAGTTGCCAATATTGAAATAAATGGTATGAGATTATGGAACAGGACACTAGAAACAGAACTGCAGATGAAGAGAGGGAGGGAGACCATTCTTTTCTCCTACAACTTTATCTCTTTACCCCAGTAACTTCTGTTGAGTTAACTGGTTAATTTTTAAGTTTCCGTGAATTTCATGTTTATTTTTTCCTCTAGTAGTCCTAGCAATATACTACAAGTATCAGGAAGGATGTTGCATAAACCCAAATATTACAAGTAAAACAGAAAATGAGTATCAAGTTCATATGTTGAAATATTTTGCCACATATAATTTAACTATATGCTGATATTCTTCAACATAAAACCTCAGGTAGATCCAAAAGCTATTCAGTATTGAGCTCATTCCATGTTATCAAGGCTGGAATTTATGCCAATACAACCATCAGGTTGGGGACTGTTGCTCTGGATTAAGGGTCCGTTTGGTTTGAAGGAATAAGGATCTGGAATTGGTACGGTCCAACCATTTGGTTGGGTGGAATCGGAATCCTATTCCCATTCCCAATAGAATGAGAATCCATTCCAGCCGATTCCAATTCTTGTCTAACTAGGCAGAAGAAATAGACCATTCCGATTCTGATTCTGACTGCAAACCAAATGGACCCTAAGTTGAACCAGACAGAAACCCAAAAATTGATTAAGTTCTCCAAAAGATCAAAAGAGAGAGAGAGGGATAAAAGTTCACAAAATTGGGTAGTAAGAGGTATACAAGTTGAATAGAAGAACTCAGAGAAAGCTTAAGAGAAGAAAACATAGTTACTGGGTCAGTCCCTCCATTGGTTGCCCTCTCAGATGGGCCCCAAAGTGACATCAATTGAATTATCCAATTTACTTTTTGTGGATTCATAGCTCTAAAATCCAAAATCAAAACTTCAGTCAAATGGTTGCTGCTCTAGCCAGGAGACAAGATCCATCTAAGAGGATCCATCTATCAACCAAATACGACAGGTACTAAACCATACAAGATTTTCAGAAAAAATATTCTCTGATGAGCATAAACAAGTCAACCAACATGGATTTGGAATCTTACAATATACAGGCAAGGTTTTAAATTATGTTTCTCTTGGTTATAAACAGAATAGAAATGGGATATCTTGGTCAAAAACTTTTCAGAGGAAAAGTCAAATTCTCTTAATGTTTCAGTTGATTTGGAGCCTAGTTTCCACCCAAGCGAAAATGGTCAAAGGAACAATACATATAGAAAAGCTTTTGTTATTCTCAATCATTCGGGCTGAAAGATATGAAATGTTTGCATCATAAACCTTGCCTGGAGTGGACTGGCTTGTTGAACCAAAAAATGAATGTACCTCATCCTTCACCATGGTATCTCTAAAGATGCAAAGAATCAGAAACTTCTTTTTCAAACTAGGTAAAAGTCAACCACATGAACATCTACTGGACTATAATTGAGTTTTTACTATTTTATTTATTTACTCTCAAAGTCTCAATGTCATGGAATTAATTGGATCACCTAGATTATATTTCGACATACTGATAAAATGCAAATGCAATAAAGGTTTCAGTTTTCAGATTATTTCATACCCATCCATGATGCTCTCCAGATCTGTGTCATCAAGAATCTTGTTCAGCTGGCGTTGACACTGTGCACTGGTATGCAGAAGCTGTTTCTGTTCTTCATCCAAGTCAGTTCCTTCCATCATCTTCCGAGAAAATATAATCCCTGAAAGAGGATTCTTGATCTGTCGTTTCATGTATGCCAATGACTTCAATCTATTCAATGCAGTTTTCTCTGACAGACGCTGCACATGAAGTGCTTGCTGCAGCTCTTGACTGGCAATCTGCAAGAAACAAAAAACTCCAGTGACTGTACCCTCTCCGTCCAGCTTCTTGCTCACAGAGAGCAGGCAATCCACATAAACTCCATTCCGCCCAAAGAAACCAAATGAAACCTTCTCAGTTTCTTGATTTGTCATTGCATTATTAAGAAGAACCCCAAGATTTATAAAAGCCTCTTGATTCTTGAGACGACAGCAAGCCTTGTGGGTCCCAAAAACCTCACCTAATAACATCTTATCAATAACATCTTCCCGCTCCCAGCCAGACAACTTTGCCATCGCCGGATTCCACTCAGAGCACCAACCAAATTCATCTGTACCAAATATTGGGGGGATTAGTGGGTTTGGGTTCTGCACAATTGCTTTATAGTCTCCCTCAATCCGAGTGAATTTGTCCATGACCATCTTATGGCTAGTGATATCTTGAGCCACAAAGCACACACCAACAACATTTTCTCGGAGATCCCTGCTTGAACATGCATTCACAACCAAACTGACTGGTCCACTATCTCTTTGAGAACCATGAGTTTTCATCTCAAATTGAATGTTTTGCTCCTCTTTTCCTGAGATAAGAACAGGGTATAGAAAAGAAAATTAGCATAAAATAAAAATATAGAAATAGCAGAATACAATTCCTCTAATCCTACCACAGTTGAATAAGAAAGAACAATTTCTACCATTCCTCATCAATATGTTGGACAAGTGCAATGGAGACTAAATCAGATAATTAAGAAAGGATTGTTCCATAAAGGACTGGAGAAAGTGTATTCAACTTGAAACAACAAGTCACTAGAGGATTTACCCTGAAGTGCTAAGTGCAACATCCGTTTTACAGTATTAGCTGAAGAATCTTCCACAAGTGTGAGCAAATGCTTCCCAATTGCCAGATCAACAGGCAGACCAGTTAGCTCAGCAATTTTTGTATTCCATCCGTTCACGAGTCCATCAACATCAACTGCCAATATTGGCACGGTAGCTGTCTCAATCAAACGGACCATCTCATTTGTCACTGCTTCAAGTTCCTCCATACCTTCTATCTTGAGGTCATTGAGTCTTGAGTGGATTGCAGAGGTGGTCTGATCTGCAGTTTCATAGTCTTTGAAAGCATTCCTGAGGATAAGCTGTAAAGAGTGGATAGCATCCATCTCATAATCCTTCCAAGGCAAACTCCTAGTCTTGACAACTTCAAGGAATGCCTTGAATGATGATCGTGGGTGCATCCTCCTTCCATCATCCTTCTCATCAGGGTCATGCTTTGCTCCTCCCCAACGAACCTCAGCAGCAGTATGAGAACGGAACCAGAAAAGCATGTCCTTTGATGTTATCCTCACAGCTGCCATCCCACATACTGCATCACCAAGAGAAAGAGCCCCAGGAAATCCTGCGTCATAGAGGCTGTCTGTACTCAAACCTGTTGAATCCATGTGATACTCAGAGAGCCATGATGCTATATCATGTATTTGGAATTCAGTCGGAGTTGTTCCTAGCTGCCAGATCTTATTTTTGTACAAAAGGGCAGCTCCATCACATTTTACAAGATCCATTACATTAGGGCTTTGTGATATAATACCTAGAGGTGCATCTCGCATCAGCATATCACACAGAAGTGTTTGAGTACGTAGAATGTTCTTCTCAAGAATCTGGTTTTCTAATTCAATCTCCTTATTAACATGGATGGCAAAGACTTGGATTAGAAACTCACAGGCATACCGTAGAGGAAAAGGTACAAACCTTGGAGTTGTGTTATGGCAGACCACAAGACCCCAAAGCCTCTTTCGCTTTTGTTGCTGTGAGGAACCAGAGGCCTCACCTTCTTCATCCCCTTCATTGACAACCACTGCCATAACCAGAGAAGCAATTGAATCCATATTCTCCATATATTGCAAGTGGCAGCTATGTGGGGCTCTCAAGGTTGACCCACATAAGGTCAGATCAAATGGAAGCTTTTCATCTTGAAGAACTTTCACATGCTTTGCACGGCAATCACAAATCATACGGACCTTGTTCTTCATGAATAAGAACCTTGCTGCCTGGGGGATGTCTGTGGCTGGATAATGCAGGCCCAAGTAGGGCTCAAGTCCTGGTTTTGTGATCTCAGAAACAACCTCCCCATGGTCATCCTCATGAAATTTATAGGCCATCACCCTATCATAGCCTGTGAGCTCAAAAACCTCTTGGACAACTGTATCACACAGCCGATCCATACAACCACTGGGCAATGCCTGCAGCCTTGCAATTGCCTTGGCAGCGAGCTTGTACGATTGGAGGGCTCCGGCAGCAGTCATAGGTACTTCATAAGGCTTCACAGGTTCAAAATCAATGATCAAACTACCAGTTACCCTATGGGCAATTGCATAGAAGGGCTTCCCTGATGTTTTGCAGTGGACTAAGATGGGATTCAATAGAGAAACGTCTCCAAATCCTAGAGCCTTCTGCAATGCAGATGCACTGGGGGTAGTAAAGATAGACCTTACATCAGTGCCAATGCCAAGAACTGGGTGGTCCCCCATGCTGGGAACTGCATGACTAACCATGGTTAGCATCTCTGGGGCATTCTCGCTGTAGGCAATGACCTTAAAAGTCTTTTCATCTAATGCTAACAAGCATCCAAATGGCTGGATCAGCTTGCCTTTCTGTATGTGATGGAGGTATGCTGTGGTTACTCTATCGGACCTAGGTTGTTGATTGCCAGATCCTGAGTTGGTTATGCGTACTGAGGTTGAATAGTCAAATGAATCTCCTGATTCCTCAAAGTCAGCATGAAGTTTTGCATCTACAGTAGTCTGTGCAATAATCCTAGCACTGTGCTTTGATCTACTAGAGTTATTGGCAGAGTGATTGGGTCTTGAAGAAGACATTCTCACCCAAACTAGGAAAAGAAGAAAATGAAAACAAAATGAAACCCAAGGTCCTCTAGTTCAAGAAGAAGAAGATGCCTTCTGTATCAAAACAGCAGCAACCCCTCTTTACATGAACTTAACATTCTCTGAGATGTCATAATTTGTATTAAGAACTGAAAACCTTTGTAGCCTCTAGGGAATGCACTATCATGCTGAGAACCTTTTGTCTTGTATTTTATCTTCCTCTGTTAATTCGTGTACGGTGTACCAATAATCGACCTCGAGCCTCTTGCGAATAATTTAATACTGCACCAACTATATAGATAAGGCATGGTTAGTCTCTGATACTGAAAAACTTTAAAATCCCAATTCCTAAAAGAAATTCTTATAGAAAATGGTAAAGCAAAGTCAAATAATCTATATGCCCACTGTAAGGACGAGATGCATCTTTTATCTTTAGACAGAAAAGGAGAAGAAACCTTATCCCAGCATCTACGCTAGGAACTTTTAAGAAGAAATTCTCACAAAAAAACAGTAGCAGCTGCTGATACAAGAACTTAAAAAGATGTATCTATAAACTAAATGAATAAATAAATAACTAAATAAAGAGCCCTTAGTTCCTCTGGTCCAAACCGCTTATTAAATTTAATCTTTAGAATATAAAAAACACTTAGGTTATGTTTGGTTTGAAGGAAAAGGTAGAGATAGGAAGGGAAAGGCAGGGAACCTATACAAGGTTTGTAAAGGTTTCCCTACCTTTTTCCTTCAAACCAAACATAGTCTTAGATAACGAAGAAGCAAACCGGAAGAGAAAAAGATGATAGAGCCAAACTAGAATAATCGAACTACTCTTACATAGAGAAACTTAAGGCTTAAAGGGAAACAGAGAAAAAAAACACAGAAAAAGAGAAACAAAATTATTCTCTACCAAAGACAACAAAAAGTAGAAAACAAGCCATAAGCCTGTCTAAGTCATTTACTTGAGGAAGAATCTAAGAAACACTACTCTCTTCAATCAAAAATAGCAACAAACAAGGATTCTAACCTTCGACTTGCAGACAGAGAAACCCACAGGTCACAGCTAAAAATCGTCTCCGCCTGATAAAGAAACAGCTTCAACAGCTTCAAAAGAGAAAACCCATCTTAAGTAACAATACCAAGCTCATAAAAAGCGAAATCTCGATCCAAGCAAAGAGTGCAACTCTGGTATCCCTGAGATATGAGCAGGGAGCAGGGAGAAGGGACCACCGGAAAACTGTTAGAAAACCAAAGAAATTTCTTGGTTTTTTCTGTCATACCTCAGCAAAACCGTAAGCAACAATCACCGATGCATTGATTGAAGCGGACGAGAACGGTTACCAACCGCGTCTATCCTTTCCGAGCAACCCATCTGAGAGAGGTTTGGTCGAGTGTGTCGATAAAATTTTTGAAAAGATTTGAAGGGTTGTAGAACGTGTTTATAGGCGTAAATGAGCTTCTGAACTCGTTGATTCTGGGTTATGGATTCCGTTGGTCAATCCGTTCTTATCAAGATGGATTTAAGGGGACCCACTGGGCATGCTCAGGGTTGTCTGTAGCGTAGTGGTGGAGCTGGAGATGCTGAGACTCAAGGTGGGCAGCCCGACTCTTATTACTGCTACAGTGCTGCATATCAACAGCAACAAGGTCGCCCATTCCATTACCATAAGCCAATTTATAACAGCTGAAGCGTTGTGGGCTTCACATGTAGACATGGAGCTTAGCCTGTGCTCTTCCTTGCGTCAGATCTCCGATTAACCGGGAATCTGACAAAGATGTCGACAAACAACGGAGACCGCTTTTTTCCACTACCGTCGTCAGACACTTTGGCTGGGAAACAAAGAATAAAAAAATGCTTCTCTTAAAAAAAAAAAAAATTCTTTTGGTGCATGAACATGAAGTCATGAACAGAGAGAAAGAGAGAGAGGCCTTCTGTTCTGTTTCACCCTTTCACCTCAGAATTCAGTACAACGTGTTCTATCAATGGTGGGTGGCTGGCCAGTGGGGTATAGGTCGCCATATCTATCTACAATCTAGTGCCTATTAATTAATTATTTTAATTACACAGGAACGTGAAGTGGTTGTGTATGTCGGATTTTTGGTTGAGTCCCACTTCAATTTCCTGCGTCTAGAAATAATCCCTTTTTACTTTTTTATCTAATGCCCCCCGGGCAGATTACAGACTTACAGAGCTTAGGCCTTGGTGATTCATATCCCACTGACTATAGGTGGACGTGGGCCCAACTACTGAGGTGAGGTGGTAGTGTTGATCAGTTAGGGCTCAAAAGATGAACGGTCTTGATCCATCCGACTCTGTTTAACCATATAAATAAGAACACTGTTGGATTGGAGTAATGGAGTAAAATCACTAATTAATTGATTTGATTAAAAGGGTAATAAGTGGACCCCGCAGGCCCTATCTCCCACTCTCATAACTCATTCCTCTGTTGTTGATTAGAGGATTTCACGTGCCATCCAAAGTAAAATATTGCAACTGGACGTCGTACCATAATTCCGTCTCTGGAGTCTGGAATTTAGCTCCTGGTTTCTTCTGCAAAACTTGCTACTATTCACCCCCTTTTTTATTATTTATTGTATGCATAGATTTGCGTTGTTGCCACCCACCAATAACGATACAAAAATCAACTGGATGCTTTATTACTTGTTGCAATATTATATTGGGTTTTGGATAGATGGAATTGGAATATAATATTGGGTGTGGGTTCAACTTTTGCTTATAGAATACTTTATCATGATTCATGACGTTTTCACTTTGCAACTTGGTCCTGGATACAACTGCCAAAATAATTCAATGAGAGAAAAAAAATAGTAGTTTATACTTCACAGAAATTAAAAGATCAATTATCTCAGTCCCCATTAGCTGACGTTATGACCGTGTCAGGAGTTATATAACCAATAATAACACTCCACGTCAGCCATAAAAGTGTATATGCCCCACCCCATGAAATCTCTCACGTGGGGCGTTATCATTGGTTAGACAGTCCCCCCCGGCCCCAGCACAGCCATCAAGTTCAGTTAAAGCTGCCACCTGAACTGCTGAACACACCCCAAAAGAACAAACTAATATGAGTCTCGGTCTGCGGCTCAATTCAAGGATTCTTTTTGGTTCTTAACTCTATGCTACATGTGAAGACATGCATGTTAAAACTTAAAACTTGCCACCTGGCACATGGTTGATGAATCAACAACCAATGGTCTAGTCTTAAGCAAAACATAAATTAATTTAATCAAAAGAATTTTAACCTATGTTTTAAAAAACAACCCAGAACCGGATCCCTTGTTGCCACCGGTTTTCAGGTCGATGGTTTGACCGTCCGGTTCAGATGAATAACTCATTTTGAAAAAAGAAAATAAAAAATAAAATATGGCTAAACTATTGAACAGGTTGAATGGGTCAATAATTCGACTGCCTAAATCAACGGATTATTGACTAATTCAATGATTTTTGGCTAGGAATCAGATTTGAGATAAAATGAAACCAGTTGTCTGGACAATTCCTAGGCCAAATGGTAAATTGTCCAGGTCAATGATCATTCAAAAATCATGATAGTCCACTTAAGTCCCATCTGATGATGGGTCAAGAAACTCGAACATGGAAGAGGTAGCAATTTATAGGGGCTCCCAATCTCGGTTATATCATATGTCACTTGGCTCTAGATTTAGCAATTAGGGAAAATGATGGTTCAACCCAGGGTCAAAATCTTTAGGCCCAAAGTACAATTCGGGTGGATGCCAGCTCGGAATTGATGCCAATTCATAGGTGGCCATTGGTGTATAGAGTGGGGCTTTTTGACATTTTGAATGGTTATAAATCTGTGGTGGAATTCAGAAATCTGCATTGGGCATGTCGGTATTTTTCCGTAGCAATTTAATTATTTTAGTATTTGTTGCTGCCAAAGATGAAGTCGAGGGCAATAAAGTAATTTTACTGATATCCAAGGCTGATGGGTCCAACCTGTGAGCAGGAGAAGAGAACATGTCAGAGGCCTTGGGTGTTAGCCCAGGGGCGTAGACTCTGGCGGTCAGGTTAGTCAGGTGCTAAAGAGGGGTCAGACCAGGCTTGAGACGAGGGCTCAGAGCTTAGTCCTTAAAAGCTCAAAAGAGGTCTCTCGAGATTCTAAATGCAAGAGAGAAAATGTGAAAAAGATGGATTTACCTTGAGATGGGCACCCCCTTTTATAGCTAACCTTGCCATGGAGAGGTTGGAGGCAGTTAGAGATGGACGACAAGGATTCCATCTGGTTGATGCCACATGGCGCAATCCGGGGCCTATCATGTTCACCTACATCTCTTACCCCTAGTCTTGAAGATGTAGTGGCCGAGGACGGGCGATGAGCTGAGCGGAGAACTCGGCCTCGGCCGAAGAGAGTACTTCATAGCTATGTGGAGGCATCGGATGGCGCGTTGGGCAGAGGCCTCGGTTCCGGTCGAAGAGAGTACCATGCAATTGTGTGGAGGTGTCGGCCTCGGTTATTGAGGACTCTTCTTGGCGACTATGTGGCAATTGCTTCATTGTTTGCTTCTCGCCTCTTTGGAGGATCTTGATGGGTCGAGAGCACAGGAAAGGGGGCCAACACGATGTGAAGTGTCTACGTTCGTCAGCCGTGTCCCATATGGGTGTCGTCGTCATATGGCATGGATCTGTATCCAGGACGAGTATCGGCGTTGACTGGTTGTAACCGTGCACGAGACGGCGTGGAGGGTCGCCTAGTTTGGGTCTCTCCTGACATGGGGTTAATGGGCAGACCGACTTATTCACTCAACGTCGTTTCATCTCCCTGAGGTCGATGCCACGTGTAACACGTCAGTTTGGGCTATAAGGTCGACGATTCCATGGCCATTGGATCAAAACAATCTGAGTCATACATTTTCCTTTAAATAGGGTCATTGGTTGAGAAAGTTCTCACCATTCGCTTGACCCCACTTGTGATTCCAGAAACCTTGGCCACCAACTATCCGATTCCTTAAGCTTTTCTTCTCTTACTCAAACACTAGGTAAAGGACATTTGTCTTCGAACCATGTCGTACTCAGACTCTAGACCTGAGTGTTACAAACTCCCCGACTTGAGTGACATTAGTAGTCCTTCTTCCACCTCATCCAACAGTGGAAGTACCAACAGTGAATCCAAAATCTCCCCTTAGGTGCTTGTTGTTTAGGTACTGAGGGAGAGGACCACCCCTAGAGGAGACGAGTGCAACCAACAGGGCAAGGATTCTCCTTATGAAAGTACTAGCTCCACGAGGCTGAGGGCTGATGCCACCGGAATGCCCAAATGCATCCTAAAGTGGTGGAACCGAAAGAAGCTAGAGATCTTAGTCCTAAGGAGCTTGCCGAGGCTGAAGGCTGAGGCATGATGCTGATGTGTTTCCTATGCTCCGATCTAGACAATGAGCTCAGCAAGGAGCAAGTGAGGGCTCTTTCCAAGATGTACCATATACTCGAGGAGCTATAGGGCAAGAGTCCCTAGTGTTGGTGACCAGCTGTGGCAGCCAACCGAAGGGGAGGTGTGTGTGCATGAGCACTACCTACACTTTGGCCTCCATTTCCATTTACCTCTTCTCATCCCAAAAATCCTCAATTACTATAATATCTCCCTTAGTCAACTTGCTCTAAATGCGGTTTGGACCATAGTTGTTGTGTTGGTGATGGCTCCCTTCCGAGGTGTGTTTGTGACCTTGAATATCTTCCAGGGTCTGTTCGCCTTAAGGAGGCGTCTCGCCGGGGATGGTTTGTGGTACTTCTTACGCCGACGAGGTAGGATAGTGGACAACCTGTTGTCCGTCCACAAATCAAAGAAGAAGTACTTTTTTGTCTCTTGTCCGGAGGGATGGCCCTTCTGGTCTGACTGGGGGACGCTGGATTCACTAGCCAAGAGGATTAGGCCATACAATAATGAGGAGGAGTTGGCCATCATGACTTGGATACGACTGACGGGGATGATTCACACCGAGACCTTTGTAGCGAAGGAAGCCTTGGTGTGGGTTGGTCTCAACCTTGCCTCCCTAGGTACGGGCACTCCTGTTGTTGGCTAGTTACGTCGTCTTCTTTGTTTACTTTGTCCTTTTTTTAATGTGTTCCTTCTTTGTTGTAGAAATGGATGGTGACATTGTTAGACAGTGTATGCCCTTAGTGAAGGAATGAGAGATCCATCATATGGATGGCCGAACCCTGCAGGTAGGTTAGGCGAAATTTCAAAAATTTCCTCTCCCCTCATCTGGGAATCACATTCCCCGTTTTAGAAAATCTGCATTTTCAATGATCAATCTTGAACTATAAACCAAACCAGATTTGTAATCAGAAGCAGGAGAGGGATATACCTGATACGAAAAAACAATATCTCCCAATGGAGGTGTTCACGCCCAAGGAATGAACCAAAAGCTGCTCCCACAATGGCGCAGTGTAGGATGGAGTAGAATCAATGTTCATCCTACGAACCAAACCCTTCACAAGAATTCGCTGAAGGCTGAGCACAACTTCATATCAGCCTTTCTCCACAGGCTGATATCAAGATCCTACAAAACTGTCTAAGATGTGCTAAATTCCAAATTCAGGAATGAACACCTTCATTCATAAGGCAGCCTCACTTACGGCAATGTGTTCGGCTTGGGTTGTGGACTGTTAATTTGCTACTTAGGACCCCTGTTTGTTGACATTCAAGAAACAACACACGATCCTATCATGAAAACA